TATTGGTGGACGCGGAACGTATCTCAAACACAAATACGTCATGAAATGGAGTTGTCAACGAACACCAGTGTAGACTGGTATAACTATTGCAGAGAAATATGCAAAGTGGTATTAATGGAGAGCGAAGAGAAAATCGGTGGACCTGGTAAGACTGTTCAAATCGACGAGAGTAAATTTGGAAAAAGGAAGTACCATCGCGGGCATCACGTAGAAGGACAGTGGGTATTTGGAGGCATTGAGGACGATAGTAGGAACTGTTTTTTAGTGGCTGTTGAAAAAAGAGACGAAGCAACCCTTCTTCCGATCATAAAGGAGCACATTTTGCCGGGCACAACAATTGTCTCTGACTGCTGGAAGGCATATGTAAATCTAGAAAAGAACGGCTACATTCACAAAACAGTGAACCACTCAAAAGAGTTTGTTAACGGCGAGGGAGACCATACCAACAGAATTGAAGGACACTGGAGACAGGCGAAGTGCAAATTGCCAACTTTTGGAGTTAGGAAGCACTTATTCTCATCATACTTAGCCGAGTTTATATGGAGATATAAACACAAAGATGATGATTTATTTACAGCTTTTTGGAATGACGTCAAGAAGGTATATTTAATTGAATGAATAGCGAACTACAATAATATGAGTAGTACGGTATTAAGACGTAAATTTAGTTTACATTTTGCGAAGCGCACTTATGATTTCGTATCGAGATGTTTTTGTAATCGCGCGACAAATATAAATATAAAAACACGTTATATAGTGAACAGTTACACATTTTATACAATTAGTTATTTGGTTATGAACGTTGTAAAAAATGGATGTATTCCTAAATAGCTTGCATGTAATGTTAGGTTTAAAAACACTGTAAAATAATAGGCATGTATAATAAGCAAAACTTTGCGATATGTGCATATGGACCGTGGACCGCGGTGACAGTCATTGTGTAATGAAATATATGTGTTGGGCTACCTGTGTTGACCGACTGCGGACCGCGGTTACAATCATTTTATATAGTCATTTGTGGTGAGGGGGTATTCTATAATCTAGCCTAGAGGTAGCAGGTAGCTACAAATTTCATCAGTGTATTCAAGGTGAAAATGAATCAGTCGGCGAATATAGTGCCCGACTACGACACCTAGCTGCATATTAAAATTTTGGAACTTTTCTTGAAAGATCGCTTCGCGATCAATTCATCTCTGGAATTAGAATTTCAACTACTAGAAAGAAGCTCCTGGATCAAGACAGGACATTCGAAGGTTCACTGAAAGTAGCCATTGCGGACGAAATGGCGCAGAAAGAAACAGCAATGTTTCAACAAAAACAAGGATCACAGTCTGTTAATACAATTAAACCTCAGTTTACGTGCTAAACAACCTTGTGGCAAACCTCAACTACAAAAACCTGTTTCCAAACCGCTACTACAAGGTACTACTACAAATTCAAAGTTTACTTATAAGTGTTATTCTTGTGGCGGAGCTGACCACCAGAGAAATAAATGCAAGCATAGAGATATAATATGCAACACATGTAACAGAAAGGGTCACTTGTCAAGAGTATGTCGTAAAAAAGAAATGATATTAATGCTGTTTATGAAACTCCTGAGGATGAATGTGATATGCTTGCTATCTATGATGTGAACACTGTTTCTCAGCGTGATATTTCTTTACCACTATTTATTGAAAACAATGATGTAAAAATGCAACTAGACACTGGTTGTGCTTCCTCATTAATCCTTCAGAAGTTCTATGATCAATATTGTGCAAAGATACCTTTGAATCACACAAGTACAATATTCTAAAAATAAATGAGTCCTCTGCGTTTACTAGTGATATTTTTAATACCGAGCTTTCGGCCTAAGCGGCCATTATCAAGGTAGAGTACACGTAAGATTTTAAACAACGCAAAAAACGGAAAGCGCGCGAGGAAACATAGCAATACAGCGCGAGCTAATTACAATAGATAAAATGTAAAATGAAATGGAATGAAATGGAAGTCATCCAAGTAGTGACCAAGGGAAAGACCAAGAAAAAGACAAGATATTTAAAGCCTTACGAATGAACAACTACCCAAAGCAATTTATAAATAAATACAAGTTAGCATGTTGGAGGTGATCATGAAACGAGAGACCAAGGCACTCTACCAGAGGTGAAAGGATTTGCAGTTTTACCATATGTCCAAAATGTAACAGAGAGAATCAGCAGAGTCCTATCACAACATAACATCAGAGTAGCAAGTAAACCAGTTAATACCATTAGACGCATGATATCAAGACCAAAGGATAGGCTTGAAGACTCAAAGAAAACCGGAGTCGTTTATAAAATCCCTTGTGCTGACTGTCCTACAGTTTATATTGGTGAAACAGGGAGGTCGCTACAAACACGACGAACAGAACACCAGAGAAGCGTGAGACTGGCTTACACCGATAAGTCTGCCTTATCCGAGCATGCCAACACCCTACATCATGATATTGACTGGGATGGGACTGAAGTACTAAGAACAGAACCTAGATGGCATCAAAGGAGGTGGCTGGAAGCCCTACTGATAGCCAATACCAACTCAGTGCTATCAAACAGAGACACTGGCAGAACAATACCAGAAACATACAAACCATTATTTAAGTTCATTTAAGTTTTTTGTTACATATATATATCTAATTGCTTCACTGTCATAGTCTGGCATTTATTTTATTTTATTTTCACTCCATTTCATTTCATTCCATTCCATTTTACATTTTATCTATTGTAATTAGCTCGCGCTGTATTGCTATGTTTCC